TGTTGTCCATTGTTTTTCATCACTTTTTGTTGAAATCAGGTCTCTCTTGTAAATGAGTCCTCGAGGCTCACTGGGATTTACCTGTCTAAATAAAGGTTGAATGAATCTTTACCCCCTTCTCCTTTTGGGGTCACAGCAGTCACTGGTGCCCATGTCCAGCTATCACTGTGCGAGAGGCGGGGGACACCCTGAACAGGTTTCCAGTCCATCACAGGGACACATAGAAAAATGAGACAAACAACCATTCACTCTCTCACTCACACCTAGGGACAATTTAGAGTTAACAATCAGCCTAACATGCATGTTTTTGTTCTATGGGAGGAAACTGGAGAACCCAGAGAAAACCCACGCATGCACGGAGAGAACATGCAAACTCCACCCAGAAAGGCCTCCAGTCGGAATTTGAATCGGGGTGACCTGCTCATTGAGAAGCAGCAGATCTACCAACTGTGCTACCGTGTTGTCCACATAATACCTACCATTCTATGTTCGTCTGTCTCTCCTTCCTGTCCTCTCAACCAGCCGGTCAAAGCAGATGGCTTCTTGTCCTAAGCCTGGTTCTGTTGGAGGTTTCTTCTTTCTAAAAGGGAGTTTTTCCTTTCCACTGTTGCCACTGTGCTTGCTCAGGATGGGAGACTGCAACGAAGCCAAGATTCAACTTGTCTGCTGGATTCCTTAGATAGAGAACTTTACTAATTGGCTTTTATGTATGTGAATGTTCCTGTAAAGTGCCCTGAGACAACTTTGTGTGATTTGGCGCTATATAAATAAACTGAAATGAAAATAATGCATATACAGTACATATATTATAATATAATATGTACTGATTGATTGATTGATTTTTATTTATGTTACTAAGAAGGACAGAATCAAGTCATGGTTTTCTACGTACTTGTGTTCCATAAAGTTTAATTTTACATGTTAGGTTTTCTCTTCCCTCTTTTCTGAACAAGAACAAAGTGTTCTGTGTTGTTATCATTATATGCTGCTGCCATTCAAAGATGAAATCTGTGCTCTGCACTTGAACTATCACATATAAAATACATCCAAGTGGAAGAGCAGGCAGTTAGTTAAGTACCTGGGGATCAGTGGAAATAGGAGTCTTGCTTAAGCACGCCACAACATGAGCTCATGACAGGAAACTGAACCTGTGACTTTCCAGTCCCAAACTGGCTGCTCTACCACCTCACAGCCACCACTTTTAGAGCAATGGTTCTTTCAACAGTGTGTCCCTCTTTTCAATCAGAACGCACCATCATCCCTTAAGGTCAAGTCTTGAAACAAATTGAAGAAGATTTTCAACTTCTCAGATGGATTAAATGAAAAGATGGTGCAGTGTAAACCTGATCTAGAAGAACAGAAAAACAGTATGCCATTACGTTGTGACCCACCATGTGAGAATTATTGCTTTAGAGTACTGAAATGTAAAGGATGCAAAGTAAACATAAAATCAATTCTTACAGTGCATTCTGTTTCATATGTATGGGGTGCGTTTGAAAAGTTGCACAGTCAAAAATTAACATCAATATTTTGGTTTATTTAGCTTTTAATAAGAAAAAAAAAAGGGTTTTTTCAAAGTCATATTTTCACCATGTTATTCATACATTTATAAATGTCATAGTTCCCAACTAAATATTTAATGTACATGATAAATATTTAGTTTACAAAGTAAATACTTAACTTGCAAGTTAAATATTTAGTTAGTAAACTAAATATTTTGGTATAAATTAAATATTTAATTTACATTTAATTTATGCTAAATATTTAACTTGCTAGTTAAATATTTAGGTTCAAGCTAAATATTTAGTTAGCAAATTAAATATTTAGTTTAGGAATTAAATGTTTAGCTTAGAAATTAAATATTTAGTTAGTAAAGTAAATATTAAGTTGTAAATTACATATGTAATTTATACCAAAATATTTAATTTACTAACTAAATATTTAGGTATAAATTAAATATTTAATTCACACCTAAATATTTAGTGTACTAACTAAATATTTAACTTGCAAGGTAAGTATTGAGTTTGTAAACTAAATATCTTGTGAATTAAATATTTAGTTGAGAACTATGATATTTATAAATGTATGAATAACATGGTGAAATTATGACTTTGAAAAATAAAAACTATTTTTTTCTTATTAAAAGCTAAATAAACCAAAATACTGGTGTTAATTTTTGACTGTGCAACCTCACAAACGGCACCTCATACATATCTATGTCTTTATATAGACTTCAGCTAACCTTCATGATGCCAGTTCAGTTTTGTTCTGTGTGTGTGTGCGTGCGTGCGTGCGTGCGTGTGTGTGTGTTTCAGATGTCTGCTGAGCTTCTACCCATCAGTGAGCCACATGGGAACAATGAAGCTCACGGGGAAATCCCAGTGGGAGGTAGCAAACCCTTACACCGCTTCTTAAAAGGGCAACCCAAGATTACTGGCGTGAGACACAAACACACACATCCACACACTCTGCTGTGAACAAACGATAAATGTTGTTTAAAAAACAGTCTGGAGGTTCTCACATTATTCTGAACTTCTCCCACCTAGACCATTGTGCTGATCATGGGTGCGAGCTTTGTCGTTGTTTCTGCTGCCATCACCACGGGTCACTGGAGGGGCTACATGTGGGCAGTCATCCCACCTAGCATATTCCTGGGAGTACTGGTTCGTAACTCATCAGGATGATGTACCATATTTTTCTGATTATAAGGCACACTTAAAATCCTGCAATTTTCTCAAAAATCAACAGTGAGTCTTATAATCCAGTGCGCCACATGTATTTATTCAGTTTGTGCTTACAGACCTCGAACCCATTTTATGTGGTACAACAGAACAATATTGAGTGTTATTGTGAATGAGCTGAATAAAGTTTGACTTATCTATTTTGTTTTGCTAAATGCGCCTTATAATCCGGTGCGCCTTATAGTGTGAAAAATATGGTAAAAGTGTCTCTTTAAGTACAAAAACATACTCAGGTTGAAGATGGTATTGTGGCGCATTAAAAAAAATCAACTGGTGGTCTCTGTAGTTGTTTTGTTGTTGGTGGTGCACAGCACATGCAGGCAACAGATTTTCTTGTTCATATTTAATTCAGAAGAATGTCTTTTCCTTTCTCCTCCTGTTCTAGTTCATTGTAAGCGGGATTCTGTATATTCTGACAGCGCACAACCTCACAAAGAAAACAGTAAGCTCTGCTTCATATTTTCAGATCAGAGACCTCTTGTTTGAAACGTCCGAAGCTGAACAAAATGTTTAACCCTTTATGTCTGCTGTTTTAATAGAAATATTCTCCTCATATTTTATGTAAGCATGTTTTTCAACTAAAAGTAAAAGAGGTGTTTCTAAATAACAACTCAGTTAGTTTAATTTGTTGGCTACTTGATGTTAAATTAGGTTGTTGTGTGTTTTTTGCTGTTGTTCATACGTTCAATGATCAGTCACCGTCTCTTCTGTCATCTCTCTCACCCGATGCCTGCATGCAGGTGACCATATCTTTGGCTCTGAGCATTGTGACCATCCTGGGGGCATGTTGGAGTTTTATCCGCATCCTGGGAGACCTCCACTTTTATATTGACATGCATGAGTATGAAGTTAGTTACAACAAAACAAACACAGACACACTATGGATGTCATATTATAATGTAACTATGATATTTATTATAATCTGTGAATTGTGTTCTTTTGGTATTTGATCCCAAATCCAATGCAGTTTTGTTTTAGTCAAGGTAATTGTTGGGTAATTTAATTATCCTATCATCAGCTTATTAAATAAATAAGCCACACAGGAAAGGGGATCTTTCTTCTTAGCCCAGGTTTAATCGTGCAAGATGGAGCAGCAGTTGAAAAACAAGCATCAAAAATGTTACATGGCGCTTCGTCTCCAAGGTCTGCTCACAAAGAAAGAGTTAACCAAAGCTTAAATACCTGTTATCAGACAGAGGCGAGCTCAAGACAATGCTTCATAGCTCCCAGTAGTTGTAGGCATCAGAGTTCATGAGGTGAATGGCTCCGTGCTTCTGCAGGCTGGGTTATGCAGCATTTGACATAAGTGAAAAACATCCATGACCTTTACATCCCCATCAGTAATTTTCCACTCTATTATAATAAACAATCTGCACAGGTTTACAGTTTGCACCTTATAGTTTGGCATAAAATACAAACTTTTTTGCTCTGGTTGTCTTGAATATCTTTGGGAAACGTCCAAATAAAACTTTTCTAATTAGAAAAAAAGCTATTTAAATAAAATTCCACATCTCTCTGAAATAAAAAAAAAAAGAGATTTTATTTGATTATGACCCCATTTGTATAATTTCCCAGTGTTTTTACTACATGTCGGCATGTGTGACTGTTTGTGTTTGTTCAGGTGATGGGTATGACCATAGAAGTGGTGGTTCTGGTCTACATTGTTGTTGGCACAGTGATTTTTATCATCATGTCAGTGTTCGCAGGGGTTGCTCTGCGCTCCACAAAAACTCAGGTAAAAACATGTAGAGCTGTCCATCTTCTAATGGAAGGTGCAAAATTTATCAGTCATACGACAATCAGATGGATTAAGCTTTGTTTCTCTCTTTAGGCTGTTGTAGTGGTGAATATGACACCAGTGGAATGACAAGTACAAGAAGAAGATCTGAAATTAAGCAGCAAGAAAAAAAAACAATACAAACATGTGTCTGTTTAGTTGTAGATTGCTAAATATGAACCACTTTTCTTTATTGTATACACAACTAATGCTACTGAAGTGTATATGGTGTGCTGTTAGTTCAGCTACAACCATGTAACCTCATAACACTTAACTGTTTTTACATCTGCGCTCAGAATCAACAAACTTTACTCCCAGCACATGTAGTTAACTGCAGCCTGTAGTTAAACAACCTTTGTCCTCTTGTTATTTGCAGTGCATGTGAACGTTTGAAGCAGCCCCGTTACTAAAGGAAACAATTAAACTGAGGGAACACTGACAGTGTAAAGTGAACGTGAATCATAACTTGGCATTTTACTCATTGTACATGTAATGATACAGTTTATTGCTTACAGATAATTCACACTTATTTGTTGTTGTTTGTTGTTTTCCTATTTTAATAAAATACATCTGGTAATTGTCAGGATTCTAGGTCTTTGATCATGGGTCAAAAACTATTAACTAAATGTGACAGAAATAGTTGATATATTTTAATAATGTAATGACTTCATAAATGTCCAAAATGTTGAGAAAAATTGTAATTTTTTTTTAATAAAGAAAAATCTTGTATGTCTAGTTACTGTTTTTTCTTGTTGTTTGTTTTAAATACTAAATTAGTTACTTTTGGAAGTTACACAAGTCCAGAAGGTCACCATTCAGATGGACTGTGACTTAGACACTAAAGGGTTTATGGAGAAGTGGGGGGGGGGGGGGGGGGGTGTCATTGAAAGATCCTGAAAAAGCCTTGTCAATGACCACACCTCAATTTCATTTTATTTCAGGAGTAAACATAACTAGTATCTAGAAGTGCTAAACTCAAACAATCGATCACCAAAAGATTTGCAGCTATTCAACTTCAACCTTTATTTACACAGATTAGTCTCGTTGAGCCTCGATGACTCATTTACAAGAGCGACCTGTTTTAAACAAAAAATGATGACAACAGTAGACAATCTTAAAAGAAGGCTTAAAATAATTAAAAAATATAATAAATGAAAGAAAATTAAGTTAAAAAAAAAAGAAAAACAAACAAAAACAGATACATTATATGCAATACACGTAAATACTAAAAACAGGAACATGTCTGCATTGGTTTTTGCCATGAACTTAGCATTTGTTTGAAGCCACTTAGAGAGGTCAAGGTCAAGAGGTCAAGGTCTATGCATTTATTTATTTTCAAAAGAGGGCAACAGTATTTATTTGGATTTTGAGATTTTTTTATTGTATTTCTCGTGTCACAAAAACTGTTTTCCACTTTGTTGTGTTAATCAAAGAAACTAAACCATCGCTCCTCATTCTTGTATATTTGGTTCCATTCAAATGGAATATTTTAATGTGATCATGTCAGTTGTGTGTACTGATATCACAGTAACATTGCTTACCGTCAAAAAAAATAAAAAAATAAAATCTGCTTATGAACCTGAATTTCTTTACAAATATCTGAGTATTTCTTCCAGGTTCTCAGCAGCTGCTTGTAGAGGCACAATATGTGTGTGAGTGTAAAAAAATGCTTTATTCAAATTTCAAGACAAAAAAAATTAACATTATTTTAAAAACTGCAAGTAAACTTGAATTTTATCCTTCTATAACAAATCAGGTAAAGCCAAAAGTAAACATTCACAAAAATACTCTGACACACAACATACAGATGTGTAACAACAAATACTCAAATATTTCTCAGTAAACAGGAAGTATGGAGCTTTAAGTTACACAATATCATTTAAAAACGGGCAAATAAGTGAAATAGAAAATGCCTCGACGTGTTGTGGGTACATTATAGAACCTGAAAAAAACAAAAGCTACAACAGATCATATCTTGAATGGACATCACAGTAACATGACAACATTTTATACATCTGTAGATAAAACCTGATGCCCCAAGGATATAAAACAGCTATGACAATTACTAACTTTAGAGGATAACACGATAACGTGAGGATAGCAAGAATTTAAAGATCCATCTAAATCCTTTCTCTGCATAACACTGAAGAAAACTAAAAACAACTTTTTGGTATATGGAGGACGGAAAGTGACTAAATGAAACAAATAAATATATAATAATGAAATTGCATCATGTAATTAAATACATCATTAAATCGTTAAATACACAATTAAATTATTTATTTCATGATTTATTTATTTAATGTTGTCACATTATACCCTCCAGCGTCATCATGAAATGATATGAACTGTCAGTCTCACGTGTCAAACTCGGTGGGCGGGACTGACGCTGAGCATGTGAAATCCATTGCTTTGGTCTGGAGTCAGTTCAAACATGGCAGCTCCCTTTAATGATTTAATGATGCATTTAATAATTAAATGATACATTTAATTGCTATGTATGTATTATGTGTTTATTTTGTTTAGTCACATTCCATCCTCCATAGTGATACCTTTAATTATATTTTTGTCAAAGTTGAAGTGAGCTTAAGCTTCTGTTGAGTTCTGTAGTTATAAGAGAATATTTCAAATATAAATACTTTTTCTAAGCTGATGTTTATGGTCTCTGTGGCATACAAAACAGTCAGGGGGTGAAAAATAGACTTATTCACCCAACAGAGACGGTCAAATATAACCATTCTCTTACTACCTGCAAGGCTAAAAGCTCATTTCTAAGTATATTAGAGCATAAAAAAAAATAGCTGCCAATATCTATAATAGTAAAAATATTTCAATAACAAAATATTCAATGATACATCAGGTGTACACCAACTAACTCCTGAAGCAAATTGTTCTGTTTTCCAAATCTGAACAAAATACCCATTGCTACAATTTTTTTGCAAAAATCCAGAGATAACGTTGCATTTTTTAAAGTCACAGATACAATAAATTAAACTTTCAAAAAGCTATAGAGAAAAGTCATGTATGTGTTCAGGTCACATCTGTGGTAGAAACAAGATGTCCTCCTGTTCCTTTAGTAAGAAACATGTTAGTTTCTTTCTTCGTTGTCTTTACTGGAGGAGTCCACAGGCTTTTGGAAGCCATTTCCAAGGGTGCAGCGCTGGTGAACCCGCATGTGCTCTGTGACACGGTACTGACGTGAAAAGGTCATGGGGCAGCAGGGGCAGGGAAAGGGTCGCACACCGAGGTGGCTTCGCACATGTCTGTTCAGAGAGCCTCGCTGGCTGAAGGAACGATCGCAGAGAGAGCACTGAAAAGGCTGACAAGCTGCAGATCTTTCTCCTGGCATGCTGGCTAGAAGGATGGAAGGTACACAAGCAGACAAAGTGGAGGGAAGGGAGGTTTGCCCAGAGTCTGTTACAGTTGGAGTTGGACAGACTGGCCAGGTTATGGTCTTGGAAACGTTCATAACGGCAGGCTTTTGCGCAGCCTGAGCTTCTGTCCCGCATTGGTCCTCGTCTGAAGAGTTTCTTTCGTCATCCTTCCTCTGTTTGTGAGTCTCATCAAAACCTTCAACCCTGGAAACAGAAGACTCTTTGTTGCTTTTTATGACCCATTTCTCCTCTGTATCAGATTTGTGTTTGCAAGGCAGCTCAACAGGTTTGGAGATAACGTCTAGCACGAGAACCTGGTTGGTTTTCTCTGTGGAAATATGTTGCTTCATGTCCAAGGAACCAGCCTCCTCCTCATCGGTTGAATCATCTAAACTATAAGTGCGACTGTGCTGAGAGTATCTGCAATGTGAGTCTTGGATCAATGAGTGTGTGTCCTGGTGTGGGAGGTACTGATAATGAAGGTGTCCGTGGTATGGCTGACCGATAGTTTCTCTTGTGGGGTCAGACGTGCAGTTTTCTGCAGGGGTCATTGGAGATAAGCATGACTCTGTGGTCTTCGAGCTTGAGATTTCTCGAGATTCTGAAGATGTGCAACATTCAGAGGCAAAGCTATCATCCAAACCTGATTCTGATGAGGTGGATGTGCTGCTTGATTTGTATTCATACCGGATAGAAATGGCACTGTTTGTGTTTCTATGGGGCTTACGGTTACTGTCTTCTGTGTCTGTTTCAGCAAGCAACCGGATGGAGAAAATGTGCTCCTGTTTCGCTTCCACATCGAGATGCTGTTCACAGTGAAAATCACTTCCTGCCTCTGAGCCCTGAGCAGGAAGTGAAACTACACTTCTCAAGTCTTTAGCTTGTTCCTCTTTAGCTGTTTCCAGTGACTTATTGTGACATTCAGAACAATCTAAACGTTGGTGTTTGGAGAAAAAATGATCAAAATCACTTTCCATTTGGCGTTTTACACCTTCGCTCCAGTCTTCATTCTGCAGCGCCAAACTGGTGTTGCTCTGTGGGCAGTCACAATGAGCATGCTGACCGTTATGATCATTACTGCCAGTGTTACTAACAAATCCATCTGTAGCGCTGCTGTTGTCTTTCAGCTCAGAATGAACACACAGAGAGTGATTTTTGTTGTCCTGATTGTGTTCTTCATCTTGATCTTTGTGCTCAGTGGTTGTACCTTTGATGGCGCCGTCACTGTCTGTGCTGGAGGAGAGTGAGACGAGAGCCATGCTGGAGCTGACAGGAGGCTGCAGCACAGCTGCTCCACTGCTGTGACAGATGACAGGCACGGCCCCGTAACACTTATGTTGTGACGTAGAAGAGCATCTTCTTTTTAATTTAGATGTCCTCAGAGGCTCTTCTTCTGTGCTGCCCTGGCAGTCCTTTAGTTGTACAAAGCCATCTGAATGGCACTGGTATCCGTGCACTTCTTGGTTCACTCCAGGAGTGACATGGACCTCAGTACTGTCTGGATTATTTAGCATGAAGTTCTGTTGTTTCGAGTAGATTACTTTGCTTTCATCACTTGTGTTAACTCTCCCACTGCTTTTAATGACACAGAAGGTATTTAAAGTGTTGGCATTTGTTCTGGTGTGGTGGTTTGGCTCATTATCATCCAGACTCCATTTGTTGTCTTTTTTGCTGGAATTAAAACTGGTTCGATTCTTCTGGGCCTCTTCAAATGTGGCAACCTCAGGCGAATGCTTTGTTTTTGTTTCAAGTCTTCTGAAACATTCGTTTTTGGGGGATAATGAAAGATCACTGGAGGTCTTCCGATCAGTTTTGTCAGTGTTTTTAATATCTTTGAAGGAATCAGCTTCATTTGAAGCACTTCCATGTTCTTCAGTAGTCACTCGTCTCCAGGCTGCCCTCAGAGCCTCCTGCAGTTCCTTCATCTGCAGGTGACATGCAGCAGTGAGCAGTCTGAAGTACTGCTGCTGGTTTAGAGAGCAGGGCAGAACCCCGGTGTAAATGTAGTCCAGAACAGATGCTAGGACAGCGTCAGACAGACATGGATCCTGCAGGTCCACCAGGGCGCCTGCAGAGAGCAGGATGGATGCCAACACTGGACTAGAAGCTGCCAGAACACACCTTGGAGGGTACAAATCAACATGTGTTGTGATGTGCAGACACTTTAAAGCAATTTATTATTAATAATATTATTATTATTATAAGAAAATCTTACCTGTGTGCAGGGTAGATCTGACCTGAGTTCTGTCTCT